GGATTTGGGAATGTTTGTGAGGAAAAACAGGGATTTTGGGAATTTTTGTGAAAGAAAACAGGGATTTGGGAATGTTTGTGAGGGAAAACAGAGATTTGGGAATGTTTGTGAGGAAAAACAGGGAATGTGGGAATGTTTGCGAGGAATAAGAGGGATTTTGGGAATATTTGTGAGGAACAAGAGGGATTTTGGCAATGTCTGTGAGGGAAAACAGGGAATGTGGGAATATTTGCGAGGAACAAGAGGATTCCGCGCCCGGAGCCCGCGTTTCCCACGGCTTTTTCCCGGGATGCAGGTGGACTCCGGGAAGCTGCGGAGCGTGGACGAGAGCGAGGGCCGGCTCTGGGCCGAGAGCCGCGGCTTCCTCTACTTCGAGACCTCGGCACAGACCGGAGAGGGGATCGCCGAGATGTTCCAGGTGGGATAGCGGGAATGGGAGTGGGAATGGGAATGGGAATGGCCTGGAGAGCAGGGAACAGCCGGTGGTCCTCGTCCAGAGGGTGGAGCAGCTCCAGAGGGAATGGCCATGGATCCAGGGAGCTGGACAAGCTTGAATATCTGGGAATAGCCTGAGGGTGGCCATGGATCCAAGGAGCTGGAATAGCCGATATTCCTCATCCAGAGGGTGGTTGGGAACTGGAACAGCTCCAGAGGGAATGGTGATCGATCCAAGGAGCTGGAAAATCCAATATTCCTCATCCAGAGGGTGGTTGGGAATTGGAACAGCTCCAGAGGGAATGGTGATGGATCCAAGGAGCTGGAATAGCCAATATTCCTCATCCAGAGGGTGGTTGGGAATTGGAACAGCTCCAGAGGGAATGGTGATGGATCCAAGGAGCTGGAATAGCCAATATTCCTCACCCTCTGGATGAGCTTGGTTATCAGGGAATAGGGAATATTCCTCATCCAGAGGTGTTGGAGCAGCTCCAAAGGGAATGGTGATGGATCCAAGGAGCTGGAATAGCCAATATTCCTTGTCCAGAGGGTGGAGCAGATCCAGAGGGAATGGTCATGGATCCAAGGAGCTGGAATATCTGATATTCCTCATCCAGAGGGTGGTTGGGAACTGGAACAGCTCCAGAGGGAATGGTGATGGATCCAAGGAGCTGGAATAGCCAATATTCCTCATCCAGAGGCGTTGGAGCAGCTCCAGAGGGAATGGTGATGGATCCAAGGAGCTGGACAAGGTTGGATATCAGGGAATAGGGAATATTCCTCATCCAGAGGTGTTGGAGCAGCTCCAAAGGGAATGGTCATGGATCCAAGGAGCTGGACAAGGTTGGATATCAGGGAATAGGGAATATTCCTCATCCTGAGGTGTTGGAGCAGCTCCAAAGGGAATGGCCATGGATCCAAGGAGCTGGACAAGCTTGGATATCAGGGAATAGGGAATATTCCTCATCCAGAGGTGTTGG